CCCAAACTCATGCTGAGTCTCCTGTTTTTTTTGTTTTCTGAAACCCACCCTTATACTTTAAATAATAATGACAACTCTGTGCATGCTTCTGTAAACAGTTAAAAACTTTTGTCATCTGGGTCCAAGGTGCTTCTTACATTTGGTTTCATTGTTTTGAGAGTCCTAAACAAGTACATGCCCTATTTTTAAAAGTTTTTTTTTATCCATTCTCATCCTTGTAAAAATACCTCCTCAACTGAAACTTGCCTGTGATGTTTATTGTAGCTTTTAAAATAGTTTTAACACTCTCAAAATAAAGCATGTGACACGTGAGTCACATCTCCTCTTCATTATGCCTGTCTGACAATTGGCACTTTCTTTCACACTTTAAATTCTACAGATAAGTTACTTTATTTTTTGTCACTCACAGTGAGACCTTTTTAAAAAACAGGTTGGTCCAAAAATAATTATTCAGTGTTGTTATCACACACACACATTGCTTATCCAATGCTACAAGGCAAACAATAATCAAAATAGGCAATAGTGGAATCTTCTAAAAGTTTTTATACAGCAGTTAAATTTTGTGGTATATAGGTAACTTTTTTTTTTTCAATTTTAGCTAAATGTACAGTAAATGTACTTATGTAAAGTGTGTCTTGAGAACACACCTAATATCTAAAAATCATTAATATTTATCATAGAATAACTTAATCTTGGATATAAAATCCATCTATCTATTTTCTCTCCATCTATGCATGCAGTATTTAAGAATTCTAAACTTTTTAGTGGTAGAAAAATGAAGCGTTGTTGAATATGACACTCTTTGTAAATTTAGTCTGTGAAAATTTAATTTAATCCCAGTGAAATTGATAGTTGTTGGATTTCAAGTCTAGACATGCATTACCAACCACTCTTGAGTAATGACACTATCAATATGTAAATAAATTCTTTACTGTAATTAATCATAAAAGGTAACTAATAAAGCAAACTTTAATGAATTCTAGATTTGATGTGTGTGCACAAGCACATTATTGATGTCACATCCAGCATAGAAACGGTTTTGAAAAAGAAAGAAAATGTTTTTGTACTTGCACATTTTTGAGACTATATTTATGACAATCAGCAAGAAATTTTAAAACAGGTTTAACTGGAAAAATTCCTTGTTTAGGAACTGATGGCACAAAAATTTTAGAAATTTCACATTTTGATCAGTAAACTGCCATGTTCATCAAACTTTCTATAACTAAATTATAAATAATGTGATTTGTGGCTTTAAAATTAACCTCAGTTATGGTTGCAATTATATTGACATTTAAGATGTAATGTGAAAATATGTCAGTTTACTTTAATTAATCTAGTACATCCCATTAGCATCTGTAAGCTCCAGTTTTGAGCAATATCAATTACACAAAACTACATTCTGTACTTTAAGTAGCTGGTTTTGTCCTTATACTTAGTGTATCAAATTGCAGATTGGAAGGTTCAAGGTTTGATGTGCTGCTGAACACATACTGCATTCTTGGACATGAGGTGTTGTAATTGTTACTGTTAATCCTGCTATTTGATTAAGAGTATCTGTGTAGTTAGTTGGTGTGTACTGTTGACTGGCTGCTCCCCTCTGATGTGCATTTCAAAATTCAGTCTATTTGTTGCACAAGGCTGAAAATATCATTCCATACTTAGTTTGGTTTAAAATTCTTAAAGATAGCAACCATCATTGACCTAACTGAACTGATAAATTGTTATTTAAAACAATAGATCTCAACTAGTTATGGTATGAGTTGTGCTATTTAATGTGACTCAAAAATCCAGGAACTAGTGATAAAAATCTACTTCAAGTGATATTTGTTTTTTATACAAAGATATTAGGCTTGTTAACTAGCAAACATTGTTATCAAATTTGTGTACTTGTATATATTTAGGTATGCGTGTATGGGTACTTGCTATTATTCATAGTGTTAAAATGTAATGTTTGAAATTATAATTTTTCAGTAAAGAAATGATGAATGACTAAATAAAGAAAAAATAATTTGTGATTCTTTATTTGTTTACTTCAGAACATTCTTAAATCATTCAACATCCCATTAAGACAGTTCATCTATCTATTTATCATTAGCTATACTATTTAGTGCAACACCTCAGTAATGAAAATTGTTTTTTCAAGATTAACAATGAATGCATGGTAGCCTAGTTATGCATAACTTGTTTTAACAAAACATTGATTTAATAAATGTATTAGATGTTTTTGAAATTAGGCTTTTTATTAACCATATGTTGTACAATCATATCATATACTTATTGAACCAGCTCAAATAAACTATGCTGAACTTTCTACATATACAAATTTACAAAATAAAATCATGTGAATATCTGTAGCTATATGCACCTTTTTTTTCATTATCAGACTGTTATTTAAGGCTCTTGCTTTACCTTGAAGTACTTATTGCAGCGTGAATAATTGTTTTTTTTTATTAGAAAAGGAGAGTAGTTCAGAATTACAACTTAAAAACTTAAGAGTAAAATGTCCAACACCCATCTATATAGTCTTAGGGATAACAAAGATCATTGAAGACTTTACAGTGTGTTGAATTATTTTCTTTACATTTGAACTGTACTAACTACATCACATTTTGTTATATTTTCATGAAATAACACTTCAACAAGATTTATGAAGTTGGGTATGGAGTGTTTTGGGTGGCAAAAAAGTTGGTCAAAAAAAGTTTCAGATATTGCAATACTAATGTAATTTCTTATCTTGATTAACCCTGCTGTGAGGTGAATATAATTCGTTTGGAAGGAATGGATATTAATACACATACATTTTCCAAACAAAGAAGATTACTGTGATTTAAAATAATGATAGAAAAGTTGTAGTGGTTATAATGTTCTACTGGAGTTTTTTAATTGATGTATCTGATACAATCAAAACTGAGTAAAATCTAAAGATCAGCAGTTATAAACAAGACATAGATTGTTAAAACTGTATATTATATATATATATTTGTATATAAGTTTGTAATGTAAATTTATATTATATTAATTTCAATAACTGTTTCATAACTTTGAAAATTATAATACCAATTTTGCCTAACACTATTTTTGTTGTGTTGATTAATATTTTATACATTATTTTACATTTAGAACCAAATACGTGGTATGAAGTACGTATAAAAGGTATTGGTCAGCTTGGTGATGGTCTGGAAGCCGTTCAAACTATTCTCACATTTTCTGATGAACCTAATCATGAACCAAATGTAGAGTTAGTCGAATGTATGTAAAGTATTTTATTTATATTATGTAGCATACGGTATTGAATGTATCGTCATTTATAAAACTATTTATCATCCCAGTTTATAAATAACAGAATAAATATCACCACATTTTCTGATGAACATATAACATCACCTGTAATTTTTCTAGATTTTAAGGTTTAATGCCAATTTAAACTTTAAGATATGTCTGCACAATATGAATTTTATGCATTTAGTCCCTGAAGAGAAGTATAACTAGGATTTGATCATTTTGCAACATTTTGATGTTAGAATATTGGCTCTTTAAGTATTATTAGATAATGTTTGAACTTAGCTGGCCAAACAATGCATTTGAACAAACTTAAATGACAATGTAACTTACTTTGTATCAACTTAGTGGATGAATTTGTGAAGCTGGTTTTGTTTTGAGATGAAATTATTGAATTTTACAATTATACAATAAACATGATTAATATTTAAAAATTTTTGTTTCAATTAAAATTAAAATATGTGTTAGTTTCATGATTCTCATGTGTATATGTAAAAATGATTAGCAAAAAGTATATCCTATTAGTGCTTAATGGACACATATATATATATATATATATGGGAAATTGTGACTGAAAATGTTTAAATTCCTAGGCTCTCTCTTTTTTTACTTCTTTGATGTTGTCTAAATAATTTTAATACTTGCTAAATTTGAAAAAAATAGTAACAGGATTATAAGATATTTACCATTGTAGAAGCTTGCATTTAAAAATAGTTTTAAGTAAAATACTTGTTGTAAAAAGTCTTACACTTAAGAAATTTATAACATATACCTTTTGTTAAGTATTAAATCTGTGATATTCTTAATAAAAAATATACTTGTTTTTAACTGTTCACTGTATGGCATATTGTTTTAATAGAATGTGAAAAATGTAGTTGTACCCTGTTGTGTCAGTGATAAGTGTACAGACTTACAGCACTAGAATCCCAGGTTCGATTCCTCATGGTGAACAAAGTGCAGATAATCTATTGCATAGTTTTGCACTAGAAAACAAATGAAAAACAGAAACATTTGAAAAACATTTCAAAAATATAGCTACCTTATGGCTATGGTGTGACCCTTTTGTTTTCCCAACATTTATTAAAATTTTTGTCAAAATATCTTCCTAGTTCTTAATTGAAAACATGATTTCAATGTGCTTGTTCCAGTGTTTAGACTAAGTATCAACTCTGTATTTTTTTGAAAAATATAATAATCATTAAATAGTTCATAAAAAATATTTGATAATTATATAATATTTTGAAAACTTTGGAGTTTATTTTTTAAGGGCTTTCAAATTTTTAAAGTTAAATAAACATTGACTATTTATTCAAGGTGTAAAAGAATTATGTACATTCAGTAGTTTCATCTAACAATTGGCAGCTTTTTATTATTCAGATATATATTTTTTAATTTATAATTGTTATAATTATAACAAGAAATGAAAACTTAAATTAGTCCCCCTCACACACACAAGAAACATATACTGCATGTTTACTTTGTTCAGTCTAACTAAATGAAAGCACTTTTTTTCCAGCTTTTGAATGTGATCCATGTTATGAAATAGAAGCAATACCGTTAAGTTCAACCAGCATAAAAGTGAAATGGAAAATACCAGAAGACTTGAATGTTACGTATTATACTATTAATTACTATGTAATTGTTGATGAGAACTCTAGAGAATATAATGCATCATCTAGAAACTTTATACGCAGGTAAGGCTTACAAACTAGTAGCTAATGTTCATGATATTAAACTTTCATAATTCTTTGATCAAAAGGTTTGTGGAACATTAGTGAAACATTTTACTGAACAACTGTTGTTTATATATATATGAGGTAAATTTCCAAGAGTATTAGCGTTGTGCAGTCATTTGTTTAACCAGTTTGGTGGTCTGTTTTATATCATTTAAATTTCTTTAATGAGGCATATTTTTACATGTGACCAAGAAGCTTTTATTTATTGTTTGATTTTATAATAAATCAGCTTCCTATTTAGTTTAAGCATTTTCAAACTAGTGGCTGTTTTTTTTTTAGCACTAAAAATGAGGTAGTTCTCAAGCAGCTACTTCCATTCACTACATACGGAATATTTGTTCAACTGCATAGCTTGGACATTCAAGCAGTTTCTGTCAGTCCAAAAGTGAAGTGTAAAACTTTAGAAGATGGTAAGTGTCACAACCTTTTAAATTATTTATCTATTGAGGAGTTTGAAATTCGGTATGGGGAAGTAGTTAGAGATTGGCTGCTCATTTGTATAACCATTAAATACTTTTTTTTGTAACACTTTAAGAAACAATAAATACTCTTAGCTGTAGTCATAATTTCCTTTTTTTTGACATCATGTATTTTCTCTGTTTTTTAATTTAATTTTTAATTTCCATTTTGCTACTTTGTAAACTTTCTACTTTGTATTACAATCCTACTTTAATAGCTTTATCCCATTTACGTATAAACAAAACATTGTTACATGCTTACTAAACAGAGCTTACAACCTGTGCTCCACATATCTTAATCTACACTCTGAACTTTCATTCTTACATGACACCCTGAAACGTAACTGCTATCTACAACACTTATTAGAAAATATTACCAACACTTCCTAACAAAGAAACTCACAAATCCAATTAAGATACCTACTGTACCCAAACTTACTATATACTCATGTCTTCCCTATACTGGCAAACAAAGCTTAAATTTAAAAAATCAACTTAAACGCATACTTGGTCATTACAACCCTCAAGTGGATTTCAGATTAGTTTTTAAATCCACATCACGCATAAAAAAATGTTTTCCCTACTAAAGATCTCCTCCCCCATTCCTTATTGTTCCTGGCTTGTCTATCTTTACACGTGTGGAGACAGTAAGGCCTCTTATATTGGCAAAACCAAAT